TATTTCTTCTCTATCGTATATAGATTTTAAAGGTAAAAAGAACAATATTTATATATCTCATTAAAATCTAATTATGTAAAATTGATCATATACCTATTTATTGTTTTAAATTGGGAGTTATTATATACTTCTACTATTAAGATAATTACCTTGAATATGTTTTTTTTTTTTATATTATCTTGGATTATATCTACTATGCACTTTTATTTCTTAATTCACATTATTTCTACTATTATGAATGAATGAAACAAAAAAATTAGAGTACTTACAAAAAAAACAATTTTCAAATTTTATTTAAAAATTTCTTCTAAATATATAAACTTTCCACCAAAATTATGAGATAAAATGAAACTTAATTTGATAAAATACTTTCAAAATGTGATTATTTATGTACATGTAAATAAAGTGAGCATTTCGTCGGTTGGATTCAAAGCAAACTAATTTAGTATAAAATGCATTTTTAAATTTTTTTAAAAATAAAAAATCAAATATGATTATACAGAATCAAACTAATATACACACTTTCTTTTTTTCATCTGTCACACATTGCAGTTCACTTACCATTTTAATAAGTTAGTTAATGCGTTTTTTTTTTTTTCATTTTATAAATTACCGGTATACGGATCCTATCCCATTACTAAGGATCGTCTAACCTGGTTCAGGCTTAGTCACAATTAAGGTTCTTCGCTTCTCCCCGCAAGTACGTGCCCTCTCTGCAGGTGTGTTTAATGAGAATCGAACCAAAGAGATCTTCCCAAATGTCCAGCCTGCAATGCCAACTGAATCACAATCCATAGGTAATTTAGTTAATATGTTGAACCTTTACTATACCCATATTTAATGTTACTGGTTAAACATAATTTTTTTTTTTTATCAATTACTCTTTATTTTTTAATGTCATTATTTATTGACAATCACTTTTAAAATTAAAAATGTAAATATTTACTAAATTTGGTCATTTTCAATGCAAATTAATCAAACTTAGATAATTAATTAATCTTGGTTGGTGCAAAAAGTCAATAATAGATTGATGAGTATATCTTATATTGAAGTAAAGATATAATAGAAAAAATATATATGTATATATTTATATTTCTAATTAAAATAATTAATTTTTTAAATTCTTGTGAAATATAAAGTGTGTCTATCAACCGGGAACGTACAAATAAGTTAATTTGGACTTAGTGAATCCTGATGGAAATAAAAAAGAAATTTATTTTTTTTTATTAAAGTCGAAATCAAATTAAATGTGCTAAAAGTCAAGCTACACTGAAACAAACATATCGATTCAATTTAATTTGGTTGATTTTACCAAACTCAGCTCAATGTAAAAGTGATACATGTTGCAGGATTTCAAACATGGTTTAAATGGATTGGTTAGAAATTTAAGGTGCTTAGCCAATTTGGATAGACAGTGAACACTTATTTGAAGACCCAACTGCAATAATAGTCAGTAGGTATGAATACGATTTGGTTTCCAACTGAAATCAAATTGAAATCGAATCAATTAAAACCGGAGCTAAATCATGGTCAGTAACTTTTGATTTTAGATCATAATCAAAACCGTGTTTAAGGTTCGTTTCAATTCTTTATTTTTTAAAATCGAAATTAGTAGTTTTAGTTTAAAACCAGCAGTTCTGATATGAAACTGTGAAAAACACGTTCTCAAAGAAATTTTCAATTTGTTTTCTTTTTTAATTTTAAAAATAAATTTTAAGAATATTTATCAAATTGATTTAATTCTTTTAACCAGTAATATTTATCATTGTTATTTATTCAAGCTACAAACCTAAAAAGAATTTTTAAAAAGTTTAAAATATATTATTTAATTTCAGTTCAAATCAGAATAAAATGAAAATTGGTGGTTCCAAAACCATTTTATAACTGCCTAAAAACAGTTCGATTTCAATTTTACTTTTTTTAAAAAAAAAATTGAAACCACTGATTTTAAAACCGAAATCAGTTGTTTTACAAACATGGTCGGTCGTGCCTGAGTAGTCAACACACTCTTCCAATTTGATGCATTAAAAAAAATTAGTTTAATTAATTATCATTATTAGATCTATTATAATTGGAAAAAGACTCCCTTAGCAACTAGTTGTATTTATACATTGAACTGCACGGCATTGCAAATTGGAAATTATACTCTTAATTAGTTTACTTCTAGAACTATGGACCCATAAGAAAATGCATATATTTGATTAATTAAATGAATATATTCATTTAGGACTTATTTGATAGAAATGATTATATTTAAAATTTTATATTTTTATCACACTTCTTTTCCTTTGATGAATTTCAATTTTATATATAAAATTTTATATTAATTAACAATAACATGATGTTCTTCATAATAATTTGAATTAACAATAATATGAACATATTGCAGTAAAAAAATAATATTCATTTTAAATTCATTTATACTAAAAAAAATTAAAATATTTGGGACTTTCATAAAAGTATTTGCAATTCTTTTTTTCCTTCTTTTCTTTTTTCCATCCTCAAAGAGAACAAAATTATGGAAAATCAATTTCAGTGATAACCACTAGCGTTTTGTACTAATTTATTTAATTAATAATTTTTGTAACATCACTACAGAAACCACACTAACCAACTCACATCCAATATTTGGTACTTGATTAATAGTTTCCTTCTTTGTTTTTGACTTTTTTTCTAACAAGATTTATTATATAAATTATTAAAACTATTTATTTTATAAATAAACTAGAACTTCTAATTATTTTATAATTTTAATTTATCTTATATATGCATCGTGTCAGCCTGTCAGGCTCGTAAGGGGAAATATTTTTGGTGAAGTTTTCTTTATCTGTAAAAATGGAATACTCGATCTCTTATTTTAAAGAACATAAGCAATTATGTCAATTTTTTTTTTTTTTTTGAAAGACTTCTTGCTTGCTCTTAGCCTTCTTTAATTAATTAATCATATTTTGCAACATCATCTAGATTATTCAGCAGTATATGAAGTCTCCCTTGGCTCAAATTTTTTTTTTCTTTTAAATCTTAATAAAACAAATAAATTTATATATACTAAATGAAATTGAATAATAGCAATTTCTTTAGAGAGAGAAGATATTTTTTATTTATAATTATTCATAAGAATTTGAGTGTTAGACAAAGTTTTATAATTATATTAATTTATAATATATAATCAGTAATACGATATATTATATATATATATATATGCAAAAGGAATTGTAGATGTGGAAGTCAATTATTGTATAAGCCATTACACAATGGAGAGAACAAGTAAATATAGAATAGATTAATTAACAGAAAACCATGTTGACTAGCCTTTTTGTAGCTCTTTTCTTATTTTTGTTTTGCCTTGTTAAACAACCTCACAACAAACTTTCAAGTCATTCTTTAGCAATAAATAAAAATGCAGTTCAAGAAACCTCTTTTCTATGGAATTAAAATACTTATTTATACTCATTACTCATAAATCTATTGTATTTTTTTTTTTTAAAAAAAAAAAAGACATTCACACTTTTATTTATACCAATTATTCAGATCAACTTACCTAAATTCAGTCTACAGTCCACTTATGGAAAAAAATAATGAAAAATAAATTTTTATTGAAACCACAGTATTGCTAACCATTTATTAGGAAAAAAAAACATAAAATAAAAATAATTTTAAAAAATCATATTTTTTTGATAAGTTTAGTTATAAGTAAATTTATAGACCAAATCTTGGAAACTCTAATCCTTATTACACTAGCTGAGTATAGGGATAGACTTACCTGGACTAGGTTCATGGCTTTATATATGAACCAAACCAAAGAAAATATGAGTTTTTCATGAAATGAGGTTATATTTTACCGTACGCTAAGAAGAAAATGATGAAATAAGTACAATTTTTTAAAAAAATTTATTTTCATTGGTTAATAGATAGACCATATATCTAATCTAAGTTAAAATAACACTACAAGAAATAGCCCTCCCCTTAGCTTACAAATTCGTAAAAATAACTGTAATTGAAAGAATTCAAATTCAAGACTTTTCATTTTTAATATAAGTGAAAAGACTAATTAAATCACTGTCTAACCAAATCACTATCTAATTTACAATTATTATAGATAAATTGCAAGCCACCAATATTTGTGTTTAAAGAGATAGGGTTGCACTTGCATGAATATATATCTCACTCTACTCTATTGCCACATCACAAACAAATATATAATTGAACCAATCAACGAACAGACCGACCTGACAAGCTCTTGTTGGGTAGCTGGCTAGCTAGCTCCTACCCATAAGTCACGTAAAGGCCACGTATATATCATATATCATATAACACTTTGATTTTGAACTACTTCAAAAGAGAATTTCAACTTCTTCACTACTAAGTTATGTGTCACAGCTTTCTTAAGGACAACTACTCCTCGTTTGTTCTTAAAACTGTGGGTCATAATTATAATCCATCTTGTTAACAGAAAAAAGTTATATGTTAGTCCAAATTTTTTTTTTAATTTTAAAATATTTTCGTCTATTATTATTGGAAAATGTAATTGAATTTAGTTTATACATTATACAACTTAAAATTGACATAATTACAAAATTTAGAACTTAAAAAGTAGTTTTTATACTTAAATTTGAATTGTACGTGTACTTAAAATAATATAATAATATAATATAGTAGTCCACGAAATGCATGCAGTCTACAATAATTTATCTTATTAAGTTGATCCACTTTCATACTGGACCAAGAATCTTCTAGAAAAACCTGAAGATTCCAGGAAAAACACACTACTCGCCCACCAAAGTCGGTTTCCACTCGGCTCCGCTCAGCCACAAGGTCATGCTTACGTGTTCCCATATCTTGTTCAATTTTTATTTTTCACACTTCCAATTATTTATTCCCAAATAATCCCTATCGCTTTCGCTTCCTTATAGCTCAAGAAGCGAGGGCACTAACGTCATTCTAGAAAGGTCAACTATAAAAGTCCACACTTTTTTATAGTTTGCATGCTCAACAAGTTAACTCAACACATATCCAAACTTTATAAATACCTTAACCCTAACTCCTCCTTATAGTCTTTTCTTTCCGTTCCTTCAAAACTCTTTCCTTTTTCACACTTTTCTCAGTTCAGATCTAATTGTAAACCATGAAGAGAAGCTTTTATAACACAGAGATCGATAGTATAACCATGGCGAATTGCTTGATGCTTCTATCACAAGGGAAGGAAACGCGATTTCCATCCTTTGAAGCCATGAAAGACACTGGTCTTAACTCGCCGGGTCGTGTTTTCGAGTGCAAGACATGCAATAGACAATTTCCATCGTTTCAAGCCCTCGGTGGCCACCGTGCTAGTCATAAAAAGCCTAGGTTGATGGGTGGAGATGGAAGCTTAGAGAATCAAACGTCGTCGCTGTCATCGTCTTCTCCAGTCAAGCCAAAGACACATGAATGCTCAATCTGTGGATTAGAGTTTGCTATAGGTCAAGCTCTGGGAGGTCACATGAGAAGACATAGAGCTGCTTTAAGTAACAATAACCATAACAATGGAGATGATAGTGCAGAAGAAAAAGTGATGGTGCCTCCTCCAATTTTGAAGAAGTCAAACAGCAAAAGGGTTTTGTGTTTGGATTTGAATTTGACTCCATATGAGAATGATTTAGAGTTCTTTAGGCTTGTTGGTAAAGAAGCTCCTATGGTTTTGACTGTTTCTTCTAGATCTTAATTAATTAAAATTACATGTAATTAGTCTCTAAGATGGCAATTAGTTGGTTATACCTTATATAACATTTTGAATTTCTTTTTTCCTCCTTCTTTCTATATATAGAGGATTCATTATCTTGTATGTAAATATTTATTCATTTGTTTATAGATACAATTATTATATATTCATTCTTTTGTTATATATATATATATAAATTTAGTTACTGCTCTTTGCAATTTGTGGAATTAAAGAAATTATTTATTTCGTAGTCATGAGACAAGCATGATGTCACATATAAGATAATTTTATGGGTGACTTACTTTATTGACAAGGATAATACTATAATTAATTATCATTAGCCAGAGGATATCTAAGTTAATTAAATTCCATCTTCATACATGGTATTTAAGTGTGTGTGTTAAATGTAGCAACTTGCTTTGGAAGAATTCTTCTCAAACTCAAGAATGATAGTGACCGGTATATGATTTTTCCTTTTTAATTAAGCTATTTATGAACACTATGTGATAATTTTTAATTATGTATGCTAAAAAATAAAAAAAAAAATACAAAAGAGTAAACTATAATTGAGTATTTTTTTTTATTTATTTATGAATTTGTATTAGATTGGAATAATGAAATAAATTTAAAAAGACTCTAAACAATGAATAAAAAAGAAGGAAAGAAAATTCAGTTGGGGTGCCATTGATCATTAGAATAGCCTCCACCTTGTGAAAAAAAAAAAAAAAAAAAAACATAAATTCTTTTAGTTTGTTAAAAGATAAACGAACTCTATTAGCTATCAATAATAAAGTTTTAGATATATATGAGTATTTATAGTACTTCATATTATTATTAATGAATTATATTTTTTAAAAAAAAAAGATAAATAAAGGAAGAAAGAATCCCATTTTAAAAAATGAAAAGGAAAGAAAGAAAGAACTAATGCTATGTATAGCAAGTCTCTTAGCTTTCTCAAAGGTTAGGTGTTTGGGTATGAGTGAAGATAATTGTTTCAATGTCCATTTTCAATGTACTTCTATCTTCCTGTAGCTTGGTATCATTTTCACGAACTTGTCTTTCTATTATATTTATTTTATTCCCAAAAATGATTTTACATACATATAACAAATTGCACTATCAATTGTAGTTTGCAGGATAATTTCTTTCCCTAAATTAGTGATTTCAAGAGAGAGAATTGAAGTCTAGTCTAGCTACCAACCTTATCGAAAATGGTTTTTCTAAAATTTTTCTTTCGTCATAAATGTTTTTGAAATGACCTTATTATTTAAAATTCAATAAGTCATCATGACTGATTTCTTGAAATTAAATTCAAAATATATCCCAAAAATAAAATTAAAACAATATTATATATATATATATATGTAATTAGAGTGTGTTAAAAATTATATTGATAATTCTAAGTATCTATAACACTTCCATAATATAAATAAATAAAATTGAAAGATAAAAAGTAATAATAATTATAATAAAAATAAAGAAAAATGAGTGAAGAAAATTTTTCAATGGTAGAAGTTAAAGTAGATGGAGATGTTATGTTGATGGTGTTAAAGAAAAAATTAAAAGCCAAAAAGCAAAATTAAAGTAAAAATTCAAACCTACTAATAAGAAAATATATAAAGCACATAGAATATGATACCGTGAGATTAAATTAAGAAAGAAAGATGTAAAATATTTTTTCAAGTAATAAAACTGAAAACAAAACTTTTGATTGTCTAACGTTAATTTAAGTTCTCATGTTAACAAATTATCTAATAATCAATTATTTTTGAATAGGCATAACTAGGTTCCAGTTTTCTTTATTTTTTAGAACCATTTTTAAAATAAAAATAAATTTTATGATACCATTACCAGTCGTTAACATAATTGTGTTTTATATTTTTAATTATATTTTTTTTCTTTTTTTCTCTTTCGATTTACATAAATATCATTTATTTATTTATTTAAGCTACTCAAGTATTATATTTTATTCAATTGATGGTGTAAATAATAATCAAGGTTATTGTGACTTCAAAATTTAAAGATTAAAGTGAGAATTCTTTTAATTATTTTTTGCTTAAATTTTGGATTTTTAGAATTTTATTATTAACTAAAATCTTTAATAGCTAAATAGGAGAGATATTTGATAATTGAGCGAATTGATAATATTATGAAAAAATTAAATTTAAAGAAACAAGTAATCAAAAATTAAAAATTGTTTCCTACTTTTATTAAATAAAAAACTAAAAACATATAATTATAATAAAGATTGTAAAACAATAAAAAAAGTATTTAAATACCTTCAAAATGCCTTAAAATAAAATAAAAAATATATTTTAAAAATATTTTATTATATATTAGAAATTATAAAAATTAAATTATTTATTTTATCTCCCTAACTATTTTTTATTCTCCCCTAAAATTTCAGAGAGTAAATCAACCAATATTATCAAATTTTCTGAATCAAAAACATAGGATTCATCTCCCTCATCTTTGTACAACCTCTATTTCCATTTTAGTTGATTTTCCTTTTCATATAAAATTATCAAATTCGATTGATCCATTAGATTCAATGTATGAGAACCTTAAAATTAGGTATTAGAAATAGGTACGCAACCGCATTAATAATTGTATTTATTGCACATTAGATAAAATTTAAAAAATAATTAAAAAATAAATGCACACCAAGGCATAGTGTAAAGGTAAGTGCATTTACGACCTCTTATGAACTCTTTTTCTTCTTCTATTAGCGGCCACCGGTGAACTCACCTATAGTCAACCCTTTCAAATATTAAGATTTATTGTTGTTATATTTTGAGATTTTGTTCCCAGGTTAAGTTTTAAGTTATTGTTCTCATCATTATGATGGTTTTATTTAACATTTTTTGTTATTTAGATAGTTATGTAGAAAAAAATGAATATATCCTCTCTAATAGAGAGAAGAAATTTAAAGATAATCAAATTGAACTTATAGAAAGACTATGAAGTCGAACAATGACCTTGAATAACATAAATATTATATTATGTCAATTATCAAATACTTCAAATTAAGGTTGTACTTTTTTAATCTTCATTAGACTTCCTAAACAAAAGTGTAAAAATATATTGATCTGTATCCCATAACTGCATATAGTTTTCTTTTAATGAAATTTTTTTAATTTGATTTCTTCTAAAAAAACTTATACAAATCAAAAAATAAACAAAAACAAAAAGCCAATAATTTAGCAGGCGTGGCGTCTAATTTAAATAATTATTTGATGGCATATTTACTGTTTATCATCAAATAATTCAAATTTTGGACACCACTAATTCAATCATTTTTGTCGCGAAAATCCAGTTCTGTAATCGTCATTCTTTTTTAGGATAAGTCATTTCAAGTTTCAATCAGTTGCAGATAGCTATGATTTCATTATTTTTCATTTTTAAAAAATCTATTAGTCCCTAAAATTTTATATAAAAATACAATTGGGTCCCTTACTTCATCTGTGTCCATTCAACACTTAAATTCAAATCCTTACTTCATCTGTGTCCATTCTTATTTTATTTTCAAAAACTAACTCTAAGATCACTAACTTATGATTATGTTAATATTTTAGTTATTTCATTTAAAATATCCTTTTTCAATTGTTAATTGCCAGAAAAATAAATCTCTAGATTATAATAATCTAACTATAAGGTTTCTAACTTATTATTTATACTAATAATTTGATCAATATATTTTGTACGGAAGAAACAAAATGTTAATCAAATCATATTTTAGAGATTTGATAGTTAGTCTTCTAAAATAGAAATACCCATGTGTTAATTTGATTATAATTTAGGGACTAATTTATTCTTTTCTCTTTTAAAAATATAATATTTTATTCTTATATTTTACTTCCATTAAATTGTTATATCATTTTGTCAATTTTTTTACAATTTTCATTAAAAAGTACAAAGAATTGCAAAATATACATGAATATATTGTTAATTTTGTAAAATATAAGATTAAAAATCAGTAATTTTTCAAAAATAGTCTTATAAACATTCGCAAAAAGAAATAAAATAAATTAACAAAAGGATACAACGGAATCGACTCAAGTCTGATACAAAATTTAGCTAATATCAAATAAATTTATATATGTTATAGGTAATGCTAAACCTATAACATGAAAGGAGCCCTAGTGTATTTTCAAAAATATAGAAGTAAATACGTCGTATTTTTTTCTTTTTAAAAAAGGTAAAATAAGCTTGTGACATTTTACAAAGCATTTATGTAATCATATGACATTAAATTATGAAGTAACAAATTATACAAATAGATAAAAATAAATTCTGTTCATATTTATCTTCATGAGCTTCTCTTCCTCCTCTTGTTTGCATGTGCTAAAAAAAAAAAAAAAAAAAAAATCTAATTTCAAATCAATAAAACATAAATTGAAGAAGAGAGAAGCTTACCTTTACCCAAATATCACATAAGAGGATGAGAAATTTCATGAAAGTGGGAAAAAGAAGAGAAAAAAAATAAAGGAAAAATCGCAATCAATGGAAGAAACAAAAACAAAACACAAACAAAAGGAGGCTTAGAATAAAAATTGTTAATAAATGATTAAATCATGACTGCAATTAAGGATATAAGCAAATGAGATAAAAACCTCATCATGCTATAAGTTCCAAGAATTGTCTCGACAAGATAAACAATTTATGATAGAATATCATCATAGCCTCTTTAAAGGGGTGTTCTTTATATATTTTGGACGAAATCATTGACTTCACTTATAATTAGACAGTGAAAGGCAGAAGTAAAATATAATTATACTAAAATTTGATAGTTGCCTAAGAGCAAAACCTCATTCTCAAATTAATAAAATAAGACCTTTAAAATAAAATACACACATTGATACTTTGTTAAGTTGGAGAGCAACTCATTTCCCTATATAGATCAAATCATTGTAATAGGAAAAAAATAATTGTATGGAAATGCAGTAATAGACAACAAAAAAAATAGAGACAAAACAATGAAATTGATACAAAAAAAAAAAAAAAAATTGAATACAAACAACATAAAAAAAAAATAGTAGAATTGCTAATTTCGAAAAAAAAAAATAAAACCTTCACAGATAATAGTTGAGCTTTGTTGTCCCTTGACAAAAAAA